TGATCCCATCATGGGAACAACCACACCACAACAGCTCAAACCACACAGAATTGTGGTCCAGCCAAGTTGACACACAGCTCCAACTATCACACTTTTTATTTTGGTTTTGGTGGGCTGGGGGTCTTCTAGTGTGATGTGCATATCTTTAGGAGAAAAGTGAAGGGCTTTTTCATCTTTTAAATGTATTGCTTTTTGCTTATGTAACTACTTTCAGTGAAAACATATGAAGATATGACTTTGGAAGAGCTGGAGGATAATGAAGATGAATTTAATGAGGAGGATGAACGTGCTATTGAAATGTACAGGTTAGTGCTGCCTAGAGGGACTAGTTGATTTTTTGCTTGATAATAAAAGGTGTGTCCTTTGAAAAATTAATTTTCTGGCTAAGATTGTGCTTGGGAAGGAGGAGCTTTGGTGGCACAGTGCCTAAGGCACTTGACTGCTAACCAGAAGGCTGGTGGTTCAAACCCCCTAGCCACTCCTGGAAGGAAGGTTGGGCAGTCTACTTTGGTAGTGATACCACTTCAGAAACCCAAGGAGGGGTCGCTATGGGTTGGATCTGACTCTACAGCATTGAGTTTGGTTTGGTTTTGGTATGATTAATTAATAATATCACAGATTTCAGTGAACTGGTCTTAGGTTTTATCATGAGGCAAATAAATAAACCTAGACCTTTACAAAGGGTACTACCTGAAAGCAATATATGTGTGTGTACATATATGTGTATCTATAGACATTTTTCTCCTTTTAATGCAGGCAACAAAGACTGGCTGAGTGGAAAGCGACTAAACTGAAGAATAAATTTGGGGAAGTTTTAGAGATCTCAGGAAAGGATTATGTTCAAGAAGTTACCAAAGCTGGTGAAGGCTTGTGGGTAATTTTGCACCTTTACAAACAAGGGTGAGTTGATTTTAAACACTATCTTTAAAAATGTTTGAATTTATGTCTTGCACATCTTGAGCTAAAACCATATTGTAGAGTTTATTAGTGTTCTATGGTTTTATTGCTAATTTCTATAAATCTTAATGCCTAATTTTCATCTTAAGGCTTTCAAATTAGTACTTTGTGACTAATACATTATTCTCATGTCTTTGTTAAAGTGTAGTAATGAAGACTTTTCTTTTGTTCCTAAGTTATTTATCTATTTGGAGAAAGTCTGGCATTTCAGAATCCTGAGTAATTCATCACTCTTATGGATGGCATGGGTGACCTTACAGTAATTTTCTGTGATAATTTATGGAGCAGTTCTCCATTGTTTCTCATCTGCCCAGTCTTGTTCCTGTGCTGTGGAACCCATTGGTTGACTAGGTGTTTCTATAAAATAGGAAATGCTTTCTGACCTATCTCACACATTCTGAATCTTGAATGTTACCTTATTCAACCTTATAGAAGGGAGTAGCAATTATCTTTTACATTTAAGGTATTTTTCTCTCTTATTATTGCGTCAAGTTAAATTGGATTTTGCTCTTGAGTGCTTCATTTTCCCTAAATACATGTAACTAACTTATTGTCATCAAGTTGATTCTCATTCATAGTGACCCCCATTGGGTTTCCAAGGCTGTGAATCTGTACAGAAGCAGACTGCTTCATCTTTTCTCCATGGAGCAGCTGGTGGGTTTGAACCACTGACCTTTTGATTAACAGCCAAATGTCTTAACCATTTCAACTACCAGAAACCAAAAATCACTGCCATTGAGTCAGTTTGACTCATAGTGACCCTAATTGGGTTTCTGAGGCAGTCAATCTTTAGGGAAGTAGATTGCCCAGTCTTTTTTCCACGGAGTGGCTTGTGGGTTTGAACTGCCAACCTTCTGGTTAGCAGTCAAATGCCTTAGGCACTACGCCACCAGAGCACCTTACTTCACCACCAGAACTCCTTAAATATATTAGAAAGGTTTCTAAAAAAGCTAATTGATCTTGGCTTGAGCAGCAGGATTACTTGTGAAGCTGTTAGAAGGTTTTATACAGGGTAGGAGGGTAGTTGAACTTTGTTTAGTATAAATACATAATCACAACCATTTCTTCTTTTTTCCCATTCTGTTTTGTAGGATTCCCCTCTGTGCCCTAATAAACCAACACTTCAGTGGACTTGCAAGGAAGTTTCCCGATGTTAAATTTATCAAAGCCATTTCAACAACCTGCATACCCAATTATCCTGATAAGAATCTGCCCACAATATTTGTTTATCTTGAAGGAGATATCAAGGCTCAGTTTATTGGTCCTCTAGTGTTTGGTGGGATGAACCTGACAAGAGATGGTAAGAGGCTCTTAGAAAGGGCAGGGGTACATTAGAGATACAGGGGGATATTTCTGTTGAAGAGAGTACCCACTTCTTAAACATTGTTATGATGATTTGTTGAGTTCCCTTTGCCTGCCTCAGTGTGAGTGGCTGTTGACAGGGAAGAAGCATCTTTAAAACTTCATTTTAGACTAGTAATTGGAGTAGCTGAAACTGAGTCTAAAAATTCTCAGTTAAAGGAAGGCACATGGGATTTAAATGTAATTTTTTTTTTCAGTATTAATGGCTAGTATAGTTTGTTTCTACAGCTTAATATATTGTCAAAACTTGTAGCTCAATATCATGTCTTCTACTTTTTATTTCATTTACACGAACGTGTTAGTACAAATGCTAATACATACACACTAGCTTCTCCTATAGAAATATTTTTTTCAGTTGAAATCTTAGTTACTTTTTAATTTAAATTAGAAGTTTATGTAATTATGTCTCTTAAATCCCTGAAGGATAGGTTTATTATTCCTTGTCACCTGTTACACATGGATATGTCAGTATATATATGTACGTGTGTACACACACACACACACACACACATAATATGTGTGTATTGACTTGAAGCCAGACAGCTTGTCACCAAGTAAAATTCTCTATCTCTTTTGTACGCTTTACTAAAGGAGCTCTGGTGGCGCAGTACTTAAGGCATTTGACTGCTAACTAGAAAGTTGGCGGTTCAAACCTACCAGTCACTCCATGGAAGGAACACCGGGTAATCTACTTACATAAAGATTTACTGCTTCAGAAACCTAAAGGGGGGTTGCTATGAGTTGGAACTGACTCGATGGCAGTAAGTTTGTTTGTTTTTTTCAGTTTATGCTTTACTAGTCTGTAAAACGTAACTTTATTTACTACTGAGGTACAGTGAATTACTTAATATGGCATTTCTAGCCATGCATAGTCTTATAATTCCCCTAAAATGACTGGGTGGGACTGTGCAAATAAGGGGCTGATGGGCCACCAAGGGGATTGGACAGCTTGATAATAATGCAGATAAGGTGCATGGCATCCTTGGAGAGGTGGTGGCGTGAGACCATGCAAATAAGGTATATGGAACCCTAATTAGGGGATTGGTCAGTTTTGCCCTAATATTAGGCTTAAAGTGAGCCAATCCCAGAGGCTGAGGAGGGCATCTCCCTGCCATTAAGAAAGACAAGCTGGGAGTAGTGTGTGTCTGTTGGACTCAGGGTTCCTGCACCAGGAACCTCCTAAACCCAGGAGAGAGAACAAGAGAGAGAGAGCCATAACACTAGAGAAGGCATGAGAAGTGATGCCAAATGCAGCAGAGAAGTGGCAGTAGCAGAACCAGGAGATTGGCACAATATCATGTGATGGGCTTCCTGGCCCACAGAGCATGGTGGCTGCAGTGAGTGTGCTGAGTGCCTTTGGGCTGAGACTTAATGGTAGAATAGGTGCCTCTGAACACTTAATTAGTGAAGCTAGAATTTTGTAATCCTTGCCCTTGGGAAGCAGAGGCTGAGCTCAAAGGACCAGAGAGATCCCTGCCTGCAGGCACAGGTGAGAAGATGTCCTGATCGAAGAACTGTATCGTGAGTCATTTCTGATCCTGAGTTCATCCTGTAAGCTGTTACTTCCCTAATAAACCCCATAATTGTGAATATAGTCATTTGGAACGAATTATTGAATCTAGCAGAGAAGTAGAGTGCCATGCATATAACTGAAATGGCTGGTGTCAGAATTGGTTAAAGAGGTAGAGAAAGGAGATATGTCTGACATCTGCTTCATAGGAGGCTGATGTCGACTTGATGTCCTGTCCTCCCCCTGATGAAATTAGACGAGGTAAGATGCCATACTGCCACCATTCTTAGAACTACTGAGATACTCAACTGGGAAAAAAAATACACATTTTTATACACAGATACACAAATATATACCTTCATATTCTAGTGTTCATCATACCTTAGTGTTCATCTGGTGTTCAATCATACCTTCATTTTCTAGTGTTCAAAAGCATACAACTTTTCATAAGTTATGTCTGCATTTTATTTTGACCTTTTTGAATGTAACAAGGGATAGGTAAGTATACAATAGTGGTTATAGTCTTTGATTCTAAAAAAAATTTATTTGAGGATTAGTCAAATTTATATTTAATAAAGTTTAAACCAAAACCCACTGCCATCGAGACATTCCAACTCACAGGACCCTAAAGGACAGGGTTTCCAAGGCTGTAATCTTTATGGAAGCAGACTGCCTCATTCTTCTTCTGTGGAACAACATGTGGGTTTTAACTGCCAACCTTTTGGCTTGTAGTTGAGCACTTTAACCATTGTGCTACTAGGGCTCCATTAATGATTACTGTATATAAGTAAAGAATAGCATTATATGCAGATAGTATCACCCAAGTAGCACTTGGCTACTATCCAAAATGGTGGTGGTTTGAATCCACCCAGCTACTCCATGGGAGAAAGACCTGGTGATCTGCTTCAGTGAAGATTACAGCCTAGAAAACCCTGTGGGGCAGGTCTCTGTTCCACGAGGTGGCCAGGATTGGAATCAATTCAATAGCACCCAACAACAATATGGATAAATAAATGGGCATAGATACTGTGGTAGATACATTGTTTTATTGTGCTTTGCCTTATTGCTCTTCACATATAACCGTTTTTTACAAATTGAAGGTTTGTGGCAACCCTGTGTTGAGCAAGTCTCTCATCACCATTTATCCAATAGCATGTGGGTCATTTTTTGTCTCTGTGGCACATTTTGGTATTTCTCACAATATTTCAAATTATTATAGTGCTATTGCACACTTAAGAGACCACCAGAAATCAAAATCAAACTCACTGCTGTGGACTCGGATCCTCCTTGGGTTTCCGAGGCAGTATCACTACGGAAGTAGATTGCCCAACCTTCCTTCTGAGGAGTGGCTGGTGGGTTTGAACTGCCAGCCTTCTGGTTAGCAGTCAAATGTCTTAGGTATTATGCCACCGGAGCTCCCTAAGAGACTACAGCATAGTGTAAACCTAACTTTTACATGCCCTTGGAAACCAAAAAATTTGTGTGACTCACTTTATTACAAATATCGCTTTATTGCAATAGTCCAGAACTGAACCTGCAATATTTCTGAGGTATACTTATATATAAATACAGTTTTTTGAGTCAAGAATCAAATCTTAAGAGTTTTAAGAAATTTGTTGAATTTTCATAACATTCAACCACGATACCTAGTACTGAAAATACTCAAGTTAATCATCTCTGTAGCAAAAAACCAAACTCAATGCCATTGAGTTGATTCTGACTCATAGCAGCCTGCTTTAGGTTTCTGAGGTGGTAAATCTTTACAGAAGTAGATTGCCCAGTCTTCCTTTCATGGAGTGGCTGGTGGTTTGAACCACCAGCCTTTTGGTTAGCAGTCAAATGCCTTAGGCACTACACCATCAGACCTTCATCTTCATAGAGCACTTCAAATTGATATGGTTTCAGTAAAAGTCAGATTTTTATGGAGATACCTAATTAGCAGAGCATCACTGCATTGATTCAGACTGGATATAACTGAAATCCAGGCTGTTTGTTTTCGAATCTCTTGGCTAGTCCTTTCGTTCTGTCTGGGTTCATGTCTGTGGTAGTGCCAAAGAGGCAAGGAGGCTGCATCTTCCAACCTCCTTTAACCCCACAAGAGGAGGACAGAATCACCATCAGCAGCCCAAGGCCTATTCCTGCGAGGCCAGACATGCTGCCTCCCTCCAGTCCTTTCACCAGTCCTGACACCACCTGTTCCTCTTGAAGCACCCACCATCTCTTTGCTGGGTTCGATAATATGCTGCAGTGGCCACACAGAACTCACAGGTTATGGGGTTTATTAGGGAAGCACCATGCTACAATTCAGGTTCAGGAACAATGTTCAGTCTCTCAGCCTGCCGTCTCTCAGCCAACAGTCTCTCTCAGGATCTCTCCTAGCAGTGCATGTCTCTAAGTGTCTCTTTCTCAGCATCGCGTGTCTGTTTCTCAGCAGCACTTGTCTCTCAGGAGCGCGTTTCTCTCAGCAGCATGTCTTTTTCAGCCAGCAGTCAGATTCCTTCTGCCTCTAGGAGGGCTCCTTTTGAGCCTGGCTGAGTGGTCAAACTAACCAATCATAACATCAGAATTCTAAGCACCTGAGAGAGAGTGAACTTCCCAGAACATTGCTTTATGCCACTCGCAACAGAAATACCCCAGGTGGATAACTTTAACAATCAGGAGCTCCTCAGTTGCTCATGGCAAATTCCACCTTGGAGTTTACAAAGACTTAGGGCTAGAAAAGCCATCCAAGTAATTACTGCACTGCAAGTAGAAAAATGTTTCAGTTGATTTTGTTTTACAAACATGTCACACTCATGTGAAGTTTCAAAGAGTATGACAGAAATACAGGATCTGAGCTTTTAGTTTCTGATTCTTTCAGGTAGTTTTTAAAAATTATGTAGTACAAATAACTCAGTTCTAGAGGATTATACGTTTGTCTTTTGCCTATAATAGACTCTTACATATTGGGTGGGAGGCTTCAGAATTTCCTCTTAACTGGGGGAAGTTAGCATAGTATGAGCAAGGCAGAAGACGACACTGGCAGGTGCATAAGACTTAAAGATAACAAAGATAAATACTATTAAATACACAGTCCTGCAGTAACAGTAGGCGCTCTGGTGGCGTAGTGCCTAAGGCATGCCTAAAGCATTTGACTGGTAACCAGAAGGCTGGTGGTTCAAACCCACCAGCCACTCCTCGGAAGGAAGGTTGGGCAATCTACTTCCATAATGATACTGCCTTGGAAACCCAAGGAGGGGTTGCTGTGAGTTGGCTCCGACTCCATGGCAGTGAGTTTGGTTTGGTTTTGGTGCAATAACAGTAATAAACAATAACCTGTGAGTGGCTGTATAGGTAGACTTGCAGGCTGGACAGGTGTGGGAAGGAGAAGACTATTATACCAATAAATACATGTAGGTTTGGCAGAGGATATTTCTATGTATGTATTTGTATATCCACGTGTACAGTAGCGTAAAGTTATAAAAACTCCTTAGCCATAACCAGATGCCTTGAAGGGAATAAGTCACTGGGCTTGGAATCTTAGGATATCTAGGTCAATTGCCAAAACATCCATGAAGACAATGTTTTACATCCCACTTTGGTGATTAGTGACTTAAATGTTTTTGAGCAGCCATCTCATACGCAGCTATTAGTCTCTCTCTGTTTGGAACAAAAAAGAAGAAGAGTGAAGAAAATCAAAGGTCCATGGATATAGTCAAAGGACTAATGGACCACATGAACTGCACCCTCTGCTATCCTGAGACCAGAACTAGACGGTGCCTGACTACCACAACCTGCTGCTCTGATTGGGATGACAAATAAAAGTTCCTGGACAGTGTAGGAGAAAAATGTAGAACAAAATTCAAAATCATAAAAAAAAAAGACTAGACTTAACTGTTCTGATAGAGATTGGTGGAACCCATGAGACTATGGCCCTTAAGACATTCTGCAAACCTGGAACTGAACTCACCCCCGGGGATCACCTTTCAGCTAACCTGACTTTTAAGGTCAATGATAATAACTATGAGAAACGTGCTCAACAGTCAAGTATATGAGACCAGAAGAGCAGTGTTGGTCCAAAAGCAAAGCTTTTTTCAGAAGGCAGAAAGCAGCTGGACAAATGGAAGCTGGGAACCCAAGGAAAAAGTGGGAAGAGTCTGTTAGGTTGAGAGGATTTCAGCTAAGGTCTTCAAACAAAATGTGTATAAATTGTTGAATGGAAAACTAATTTATTTTGTAAACTTTTACCCAAACCACAATTAAAAACATTTTTATTCCTCTTATTAACTAAAATTAGATATAATGATTAGATTGCCAGCAGGACTGAAAATGATTTCTTTTTAATGTTTCATGCTGATTTCTTTGCTGGGTAATTGTCTAAGCTGAGAAACCAGTCGTTAGAAGACAGGTTTAACCTTTGTTTTTTAAAAAATTTATGCAGTTTCCAACTTATGTAATTTTTCGTTGGATCTCATCTTCTGAAAAAGGTGAAGTATTTTGCATCATCCTTTATTAAAGGTCTGATTTTTTCCTCTCTTCTAGTCTTAGCATTATGGCACTGAAATTAATTTGTCATCACATTTAATTTTGGTGATCTAGTTTCTACTTGGAAAAAAAAGTAACTTGGTGTGAGAGGCCCCATCTAGGACTGTCCCTTGGTTGATGTGGTTTTTCTTTATCATGCAGAGTTGGAGTGGAAATTGTCTGAGTCTGGAGCAATCAAGACAGACCTGGAGGAAAACCCCAAGAAACCAGTAGAAGATGCATTACTGTCCTCAGTGCGGTCCTCAGTCCCTGTGAGGAAAGACAGTGATTCCGAGGATGACTGAGGCTTCAACAGACAAAACCTGCTGAACTTTCTTGGTGTGACAAATCACCTGGATTTTTTTAAAAAAGGAAAATGCAGAACTTAATCCTTTAGCTTTTATCATTTTATATGAAATTATGTTTAAAATTTCAATACATCTCAGAGATAATAATCATTGCTGAGAATCTTTAAAAATTTTTTGCAACTTTTTAAATTAATAACAGTTCCTTAAAATAATAATAATAAAAAAAGATAATGGTCTGGCAAATGTCTCTGTATTACTCACTTACATTTCAAGTAACTCATAAAACTCTCTTTTCACTGCTTGTTGACATATATAAAAGAATAGATTTTTATGTGAATAAGTTATATGATAGAAAAAACTATGAATTAAGCTTTATTATTGTTTATTTTCTTTATTCTTTTATAAAGGTAGAAACAATATTCTTAACTGAAAATATAGGAATGACCTCTAGGAAAAACAGCCTTACTATTTATTCTGTCTAGAAATAAGGTAATCATTTTTATAGAGCATTTTACCAAAGCAATAACTGAAAGATTTCAATGTACTGCCATGTTTCTTGGGGTTCTTTTCCCGTAAAATAATTACTGCCTCAAACTTAAAATGTCATTTAATCTTGATTATTGTAAAAGACTACATGAAATTATTTTGGAAATAAGCTATAAACTCACAGCTAGATAAACTCTATCTCAATATTAATCAGTAAAAAAATCAAGGTGTTTTCTGAACCAGAATCCTCTTAGCATTTAGCACTTTTTGTTAAATTGACATTGATAACAGAAAAGTTTAGGGAGATAACTGTTTACTAATATTTGTGTTAGGAGCTCTGGTAGCATGGTGCCTAAGGCACTTGACTGCTAACCAGAAGGCTGGCGGTTCAAACCCACCAGCCACTCTTCGGAAGGAAGATGGGGCAATCTACTTCTGTAGTGATACTGCCTTGGAAATCCAAGGAGGGGTTGCTATGAGTTGGGTCCAACTCAGCACATACAACAACTACAACATTTGTGTTGAATGAGATAATACTTAATTCTGGTTCAAATCTTAAAAATACAAATCAAGTGTATCGTAGAGTTTGTTTTTGCTATAATTCAAAGAATAGCAAGCAGCTGTGACTTTTTTTTATGTAAATGAGAGCCAGTACAAACATAGTCGCAGTTTATTTTAATGCATTTTTCATGAAATTTTAATTGCAGGATTGAAATAAACTTGGTCGCTTGTATGCTGATTTCATGGGTTTCATAGGAGAGCTTTCTTTGATTTTCTTTTGGTGGCTGACATTAAAATGAAATACTATGGGAAAAACAAAGGTGAGAAGTTGAAGTGCTGCATTTGCTTGAGAGCTGTAGTGCACACACTGGGGGGAGAGAGCTGTGTCCACAGTGATGGAGCAGGGCAGGCGTTCTGGTGCTGTGGAGCCCATATTCCCTTTGCTGCTTTGATCTGTGTATGTGTGAAGACTGTCTCATAATCTTCCCCTTACACTGTACCAAAACCCTTGGTTTGAGCTCAAGAGAAAATTAGATACCAGTGGGGCTGGCTAATGAACCCTGTCTGGCCACAGAGCACCCAGGATGCATGCAGTTTTGTAGTTATGCTAACTGAACTTAAAAAGAGAAAATGCCATTAGCGTCACTGAATTGTACACTTAAAGATTAGAGTGGCAAGTTTTGTGTTACATGTACTTTACCATGATGAAATTCTAAAGAGAATCATTTCTATCCTAAAAGTAGTATGATTTAGATCCTGATCTTCAAGTTTTCACAGTATAATTCTGGGAGATTTCCCACAGTAAATAGACCATTTATCTTCTTCATTTGGAGTGTTACTAATGTAGCATTGACAATAAATCTTGGCTCTTAAGCAATGAATTCATTTAATTGCACAGCAAAGCCCATACTGACGAGGAAAACAGACAAGGGTACCTATAACATGCTGATGTTCAGTGGAAGGGTTTATTGAGAAGGGTATTAATCCTAAGTGGAACATGAAGTGCTGGATGAAAGTTCTTTCCTCCAGTGCTTGAGGAAGATTTCCAGGCAAATTGGTTTAGTAAATAATTGGGAAATGTGAAATGGAGTAAGACTGCAATTGCTGCTATTAGGTGCTGATGACTTGGTTCCGACTCAGTGACCCTATGCACAACAGACTGAAATACTGCCTGGTTGTGTGCCATACTCAAAAGGGTTGCCATGCATGATTGAGCCCATCATTGCAGCCACTATGTCGTTCCATCTCATTGAAGGTTTTTCCTTTTTTTTTTTGGTGATCCTTTCCTTTACCAAGCATGATACCTTTCCCAGGGACTGGTCCCTTCTGACAACATGACCAAAGTATGTGAGAAGAAATCTGGCAATTCTGACCTCTAAGGAGCATTCCACCTATACCTCTTCCCAGGCAGATTTGTTAGTTCTTCTGGCAGTCCATGGTATTTTCAATGTTCTTCACAAACACCACAATCCTAAGGCATCACTTTTTCAATCTTACTCATTGTCCAGCTTTCAAATGTATATGAGGCAATTGAAAATACCATCGCTTGCGTTAGGTGCACCTTAGTGTTAAGAGTGACATCTTTGCGCTTAAAACACACTTTAAAGAGGTCTTTTGCAGCAGACGTGCCCAGTGCAAAATGCCATTTGATCTGACTGCTGCTTCATAGGCGCCTTGACAACTTGGATCTTTTCTCTTTTATTGTGATGCTTATTGGTCCAGTTGTGAGGATTTTTGTTTTCTTTATGTTGAGGTGTTGTAATCAATACGGCAGACTGTAGTATTTAATCTTTTAAGTCATCTTCAGTTTGAGCAGGCAAGATTGTGTCATCTGCATATCACAGATTGTTAATGACTTTTCCTCCAATTCTGATGCTGTGTTCTTCATTCCAGCTTCTCAGATTATGTGCTCAGCATAACGTATTGATTAAGTATGGTGAAAGGATACAACTCTGACACTCATCTTTCCCAATTTTAAATGATGCAGTACCCCCTTATTTTGTTCAAACAACTGCCTTCTGGTCTATATATAGGTTCCTCATGAGCACAGTTAAGTGTTCTAGAGTTCCCATTCTTTGCTATGTTGTCCATAATTTGTTATGATCTACACAGTCGAAAACTTTTGCATAGTTAATAAAACATGAGTAAACATCTTTCTGGTATTCTTTGCTTTTAGCCAAGATCCATCTGATATCAGAAATGATATCCCTTATTCCACATGCTCTTCTGTATCTGGCCTGAATTTCTGGCAGTTCCCTGTCAATATACTGTTGCAACCATTTTTGCATGATTTTCAGCAACATGTTACTAACATCTGATACTAATGTTACTGTTCAATAATTTCCATATTCTGTTGGATCACTTTTCTTTGGAATGGGCACAAATACCAGTCTCTTCCAGTTATTTGGCCAGGTAGCTGTCTTCCAAATTTCTTGGCATAAACAAATGAGCCCTTCCAGTGCTACATCCATTTGTTGTAACATCTCAATGAGTAGTCTATCAATTACTGGAGTTTTGGTGTTTTTTTTTTTTTTTTTTTTTGCCAATTTCTTCAATGCAACTTGGACTTCTTTCAATACTGTCCGTTTGTGATCATATGCTACCTCCTGAAATGGTTGGAAGTTGACCAGTTCTTTTTGGTACAGTGAGGTTGATTCCTTTCATCACCTTTGGATGCTTTCTGCATTGTTCAATATTTTGCCCATAGAATCCTTCAGTATCACCACTTGGGGTTTGAATTTTTTTCAGTTTTTCATCTTGACAAATGCAAGTAAAACCAAGGTGAAAATTATTAAAAAACTGTTGCAGCACTACATTGGCAGGGAACTGCCAGAAATTCAAGCCAGACTCAGAAGAGGCTGATGAACAAGGGATACCACTGCAGATGTACCCATTGTTTGTTGCAGCCACTGTGTCAATCCATCTCATTGAATGTCTTCTTTTTTTTTTTTTTTTTTACCCCCTACCCCCCAGCTCTCTACTTTAGCCAGCATAATGTCCTTCTCCAAGAACTGGTCCCTTCTGCTAATACCTATATCTGAAATAAGTGAGACGAAGTATTGCCATCCTCTCTTCTAAGGAGCATTCTGGCTGTACATTTTCCCAGATGGATTTGTTCATGCTTTTGGGGGTCCATGATATATTTGGTATTCACCAACACCATAATTCAAAAGCATCAATTCTTTGGTCTTACTTTTTCATTTTACAGCTTACACATGCATATAACGTGATTGACAATACAATGGTTTGGGTCAGCTGCACCTTAGTCCACAAAGTGACATCTGCTTTTTAATGGATGTTGGTTTAACAGTACTGGTCAGGCATTTAACACATCTTTAAAAAGAGGTCTTTGGAGCAGATTTACTCACTGACATTCAATTTATTCACTACTCCTACCATGGGAACTCTATAATATCTTCCAATTTTTCTGTAAATCTAAAAGTCTTCTAAAAAGTAAAATTAAAAAAAAAATACAGTAGTTCATGAATCACATCAATATAGAAATTAGAACTAATGTAGGAAAGTTGTGGTCAGTTCTTGAGTGCTGTAACTAAGGATCCAGGTCTCAGTTTGGGTTTGCCTAAATGCAGAGTGTGGGACAAAGACACAGGTGCAGAGATTATTTGAGTGGAGATCCCAGGAGTGAGGAAGCTGAGGAAGGGAGGTGGGGAACAGGAAAGGCCAATATAAGGGTGAATACAACAAACTAACAAGTGGTGGCTGCAAACATTAATATCAGTAATAATTGGAATGTGGAATGTATGAAGTATGAATCTAGGAAAACTGGAAGTTCTCAAAAACGAATGTATAAAGATACCTAGGCATTAGTGAGGGGTAAGGGACTAGTATTGGCCATTTTGAATTAGACAATCGTATGGTCTACTATTCTGGGAATGACAAATTGAAGAGGAATGGCATCACTTTCATTGTCAAAAAGAACATTTCAAAATCTGTCCTGAAGTATAATTGCTGCTAGTGATAGAATAATATTAATACACCTACCAGGAAGA